ATCTTGACAACAAGGGTACTATATGTTACACACGCATATACTTCAAGAGGTTTCAATATAATATGTCCAATGAAAAGGGGTCTATCTGATTAACCGACAATCTCAAATGGTCTGAATGTAATTTATCTACTTTTTTTTTTTGTACTTTTACGTATTTGTTTATTTAAGTCATAAAATTACTTTTGACTTATTTGAAAGTAATTAAAATGAGCAATGCTATTGGGACATAATTTATGGACATAATTTGAGGATATAATGAGTCGTCACTAATGATATGATAATGAATTCATTTAATGCTACAATGAGACTCATCATTAAATGCATTTTACTATCATATTATTGGTGACAACTCATTATGTCCCCAAATTATGTCATGATAGTATTAGTTAATTAAAATAAATTGTTCCAAATATTATTTTTTTAAAAAAATACTTATGAAAAGTCAAAAATCACCTCAAACAGACATTTAGGGAGCCTATTTTTTTTTTATTAAATTTAAAGAGTTAATATTGGCCATCAGATTAATTTTAAAATAAAATTTAAAATGATTTCACGAAAAGTAAATTTTTTTTTTATATCGTACTTTATTATATAAATTTTATCCAATACCACATTATTTATTCTTGTTTTCTAATCTTAATTTTTAGAATTATCCAAATCAGTACCATATATCATACAAAACTGACCCTTAGGAAAGACAATGAAACTTCGGGTTTTTGGAAGTCGGTACACCTAATTAGACTTATTTGGCAAAAAGTACACACTAAAAAATATTTTGAAAAAAGGTACACTAGTTAGATACAAAGACATAAATGTCCATTTTAGGAAAAATGGTACATTAAATATCTCATAGTTTTATGGGAGAACTTTAATATTTAATGCACATTGATTCATGTGTATTTGTTAATATATATACGTATAAACAAGTATATATAAATACATATATATATATACACATACACATATATATTTATATTTATACGTATATATATATATATATATATATATATATATTTATTTATTTATAAATGTATGTATTTATATATATATATATACAAGTATAAAATGTTACATGTTAACATTGAAAGTGTAACACTTTCACACTTTCTCAATTAATTAGCATTTTTAGTGTAAGATAAGACATGTATATTTTGTTTGTGTAACACTTTAGACAATGTCTCCTATTACCTTGTGTAAATACCTTGTTATATTGTCATTGCACACTGTTATTGTTACTTTCAATATTACCCTATAACACTTTACACTTTCCATTAAGAAATGTGAGACATAAGATAATACTTTACACTTTACACTTTCAATGTTACACTTTACACACACACACACACACACACACACACATATATATATATATATATATATTCAAGTATATATATATACATAAATATTTATATTTATACATGTATACATACTTGTATACATATATATATATATTTATATATATATATATTTTTTTTTTTATTTTTTTTTGTCACAAAAAAATTAAGAAAATTCAAATTGTGTACTTAGATACAAATAAGTATCAAAATGAAGGACTTAATAACCCTATATTTTTTAGTGTATATTTTTTACTAAATAAATTTAATTTGGTATACCTCCTTATAATTTACCCATAAAACTTTCGTATGCGATACCCAATGAAGAAGGGCCTCAACTCTTATAAAAAAAAATGAAGGCTGAAACATTTGTGAATTAGAAGACTCATTAATTGTTAACTGATTGCCAGTGGTGTGGGCCAAAAAATAGAAATAGAAAAGCCCACAAATATCAAACGGAGACAATAATACAAGACCANCAATTGTTCTACCCAAGTGAAGTTGAGTTGCAGGTTGATTTCATGTACAAACCAATAAATGAATCATCAACGTTTACTTCCAAATACTTAATTAATGAGAGAACATTTGTTTATTAACTATGCGAGTATGCTTCTAGTACAAATCCCAATGCTTCATCTTCCNGATAAACTAAAATTTAAAAGATGGCAAAATATGATCATTAGATCTTTACATGAGGATGAAATCTCAATATTAAAGATTTAATTATGGATTTGAGTAAAAAAAAAAGATTCTTCTTTCATTTAATACTAGTTGGTGCACAGGTGCGTTGCACGTGAACCATTGTGTGTTATAAATTTGTTCTTTTCTATTCTTTTGTAAGTTTATTTGTTTAATAGTAGAGCAACTTGAGAAAATGGCTTTGGATGTACAGAGAAGCAAACACGTAAATAAAGGAGTAACCTAACATAATACACTCGTTAATAATGTACGTCAAAAGCTTGCACCAAAAGCTGGGACCAAAAAACAAAAACCAGCTTCGATGAAAATTATTCTAAAAAACCAACACAAAGAAACCTTGATGGACTTGGTGCTGCAATGGAGTAAAATAGGAAACACTTTGGGAGAGAATATAAGACAGGGTGAAAATAAGGGACAGTTAGGTTTAGACGAGGGGTTTGAGTCAAATTAGGCTATAGAAGTCAATATATTAAAATAGAACCAAAAGCGATGAGCCAATTATAAGCCCAACCCCCAACTAAAAAAAATGAAAAAACACTTCCCCCTTGGCCTTCATTACCTACCCAAACAGTTTCATCAACCAATCTGGGAATTTTCACTACCCCTAGTAGCATAGAGGGTTACTTGGGCCTTTGTACTTGCAGGATTCTGGCCATTTGAAGAGCTTTCATGTATAATCTCTATAGTTTCGTAGTTAAATAATCAGAGAAAAGCTTTGTTCCATCAAGTTTTAACCAATAGCAAAAGAATTAAAAGTGAATTATGCAAACCAATGATATTAGCCCAAACAATAAGCACTAAAATCTCGCATCAAAGTACCATAAACATCAAATACTAACATCCCCACAGTAACCTTTAATTAAAATCCTTCCCACCCTCCTTTTAGTACATCATAATATAGACAAAGTCCATTCTCCGAAGAGATTCCATTCAGTAATCACTTCATACATATTTAATTTCTTTCACAACTATTCCAACTTCTGCTAGTAAAATGGTTGAAAAACTACTGGCTAATTGTTCTACCCTAGTGAAGTTGAGTTGCAGGTTGATTTCATGTACAAACCAATAAATGAATCATCAACGTTTACTTCCAAATACTTAATAAATGAGAGAACTTTTGTTTATTAACTATGCGAGTATGCTTCTAGTACAAATCCCAATGCTTCATCTTCCAAATCTATTTCGATAAAAAAATATTTTAATTCTATATATTAACAAGACTATCCTCCTTACACTCTCACTAAGCGTGACACATGAAATCAAAATCAAGTAACATCGATGTCAATTTAGGATGCCCACTGATCAATAACTTTTAACATCAATAATTGATTTTTTTTTCTCACTAAACTTGCATGTCATGAAACATGCAGTTCTAAATTGTAAGGCACATCACAAAAATAATTTTTGGAACCAAGTATATTTAGTGAATGTCGCTTCCACATGACGGCTGACGTGGAGCCCAATCATCCTTCCACGTTAGCCACCATGTTATTTGGTCACTTTTTTTGATCACTAATTTTGATCAGTATAACATTACTGTTAAAAAAAATATAAGGATAGGAGATGATCTGACAATGGTCTAGATCATTTAGATTCAACAGTTTATTTTTTGATTTAAATTTTAATCTTTTAACTATCGTAACTCATTTAAATTTTAATATTTTAATTTTTTAACTATAATAACTCATTTAAATTTTATTTTATTTTTATCTTCAATGATAAGCCTGCCATCTACTTTAAACTTTACTTTCGACTCCNAGGCACATCACAAAAATATTTTTTGGAACCAAGTATATTTAGTGAATGTCGCGTCCACATGACGGCTGATGTGGAGCCCAATCATTTTTTCACGTTAGCCACCATGTTATTTGGTCACTTTTTTTTATCACTAATTTTGATCAGTATAACATTACTGTTAAAAAAAATGTAAGGATAGGAGATGATCTGACAATGGTCTAGATCATTTAGATTCAACAGTTTATTTTTTGATTTAAATTTTAATCTTTTAACTATCGTAACTCATTTAAATTTTAATATTTTAATTTTTTAACTATAATAACTCATTTAAATTTTATTTTATTTTTATCTTCAATGATAAGCCTGCCATCTACTTTAAACTTTACTTTCGACTCTGTGAAAAATAAAACTAATCAACAACTCAAAATATGCAAAAAGCATACCATATTACACACATAATTAGATTAAAATATTATTATTGTATGCCTATTGTTTACTTTGATTTTTTCTCAATCTTTTTTTTTCTTGTTAGCAATATTTTTGTCTATCCCACGAATGTTGAAATTTTCCTTTAATTGATATAATTTGCTTTTTTGGTATTTTTTCACTTTAAAGTTTCTCTTTTAAATTTTTAATATTATGAAAATTAGAACTTTAATTGGTGAATTCGTAGATGAAAAATAATCATAAACCATATCTTTATTTCTCATGCGTTACGATCCAATTGTTCTTGACCTTTGTAACGTGTATAGATTTATGTCTCCTAGACTCCGATTTTTCTTGGGCTCGATCTCAGGCTATGATGTGCAGTAGAGGAGGAGTAAGGGAGAGAGAATTTAAAATTTTGTCCAAAAAGTAAATCGGCTTAAATTAAGTATAAGTAGCATTATTCTGTAAGGAAAGACCACAAGACAAACAACATACAATGACCATTAACCACTAAGCAGAGACGCTAGCCCTGCGTTCAGACGGTCATTTTTATTCGAAGATACAAAAGCAGTACATATATAAGGAGAGAAAACCAGACCACTCCACACTCCCATAGATGTTTTGAAACTNGAAAGACCACAAGACAAACAACATACAATGACCATTAAACACTAAGCAGAGACGCTAGCCCTGCGTTCAGACGGTCATTTTTATTCGAAGATACAAAAGCAGCACATATATAAGGAGAGAAAACCAGACCACTCCACACTCCCATAGATGTTTTGAAACTATGATTCAACATTAGCAGTGTTTGGTGCAGAAGCATCGGCGACGGAAGCCCCGGCAGTGGCCGCCATGGAAACCCTCAGTCTGGCAGACAGTAGCACAGTTGCTCTGCCTCACACATATTCCCTTGAATCGGTGGCTCTGGGACTCACATGTCCTGCCCTCCACCACCATCGGACCCATCTCTGTTCACACATCCACACGTAAGCATACTTGATGTCTTTAACTGTTGATCATTTTTCTCGATAAGTAAATAAATTTTATTTTGACAAACAAAGATATTACAATGACACTCAAAATATATCTCAAACGGCCCTTCCTAACTATTGCTTACCTGAGCAATGCCAATGATACACTGAGCAAGTGAGCCACTCTACATGTACCCATTATTCTAAATGAAAAAATCTCACAGCCGGAGAGGCGAGTATACTGTTGGAACTAGGAACTATGAACTATAACCAAATTTGACCATTATAAGTTCTCTAATCTCAGATTACGTTCAAGAACTTTAACTTCACCATGTCTGTTAATTATGTGGAAACCATCTTAAGGTTATGATTTTGCAGTATTATGGTCCTCAAGTTATTGTACGGTGCACGGTACACCAAACATCAAACATACGGGTCTTATCATAGTTCATGAGCAGGGTGCTTTTCTATACTGTTTAGATAAATGGATTCCACTAACTTGTATTACTATTTAAAAACTACCAATGCGCCCCTAAAATTTGATAAAAATATTTATTGGGGCAACTTAATAGACATGTGATTTGATGAATGTGATAATAACACTATGAAGTGGCCTAGTCCAATGGAAGTATCAGCACAACAAAAGAGTTCGTCCGGTCGCATAAAATGTCCTCAGAAACTCTTAAGGTGTGATTTTATGGTACATATTATATGGCTATACAAAATGTACAACTACCACAACAATACATAAAACTATTGATAACCATGTTAAATAAAGATTTATTTCCGTGGTAGATGTGGATTAGGCTAAGATGCCTATCTTGTAGGAGATGAAATCGTTCTAACGATAAAATGAAACAGACTTGTGTAACTCTATACAAAGTTTAACAAGAAAAAGATTAAACCAGTGGTCATGACCAGCATCAGCATGAGGAAGACAGCTGCAAAAAAGTGTATGGAGCGCCCCATATCTGTGTGTGAAAGAGGTGAGAGTCGTGAGACAAGGATAGTGCGACGGAAGAAAGAGAGAGAGAGAGAAAGAGAGACCCAAGTAAGTGCAAGGAGCTAGGCCTCGCTGGCCAGGTGTTTATAAGGTTTATTCCGTGAGGATATGCCGACATTTGTTACTTTGAATGATCGAGAAAGTGGTAAAGAGATATCAGTAATCTCTCGTGGGTCATGATTACTCACTACGCACTAACCTCCTTTTTGCATTTATGTATAGTGTTTTATATATACACTCATTTTATCTCTCTTCAGTTTTCTGATAACGCTACGCTTTAGATCAAGTTATAAATTCTTTTGAGTCATGTCTAAATGAAGTAAAGTTCCCAAAAAGTTAAGATGATTTAAAAATCCTATTACACGCCCACTGAATGAATCATTTCTTTCCAAGCTGTTTTGCCCCTATCTTGTGATAATTGTGTTCCTACTAAACTAAAACGTGTTCTTCTGTTCCTTCCTCTAGGTGCTTCTTTTGTTTGATCTCAAAATTAGACCAATATTGCTGTAAGCCTTGGCTGAAGTGGTTCTCTATATGCACTGTCTCAATGACTTTAACATATCAGAGGGAAAAAAAAAAAACATTTTTGACTTGATAGCATTCAAAAGAAATCACTTGGCAACAAGATAAACCAATAGATTTGGTAATCTTGTCCTTTTATATCACTCATGTGTTCTTAGCCAAGGTGTTTCGGTGGTTCAAGACTACAATACCTTTCAATACTTTTTATTTTGTTAGTTTTTTATGGTAAAATGTTTCAGATAAATTCTAGTAAGTTCCATTCTCTTAATGACCCTCTTATAAATTGTGAATAATCTACCACTAATAACAGGTAAAGTTATTTTTGTCAGAGTTCAATGTAGATTTAGATTGACCAATTAATTTTACTACACTCCATATCATCGTAAAAGTTTGTCTGTCAATTTATCTTATTCCAGTTTCACCTGTATTGTGTTTGGATCAAGATTTGTATATAAAGTAAGCCAATTGTCTTAATTCTAGTGGCGTCGTTGCATGGACGACTAATGGACAGTATTAAGTTGAAAAATAAAATAATAATATACATCAATTCATGTCTATCTTACTTATAAAGCATACTAGTCATTTTACATATCAATACTAAACATGTCTCATTCATAGCAGCTGCTACATAGTATTGATCTAGACCATGTATATGTTGTTAGATGATGCAAAAGATTGGGTCGGTACTAACAAATTAGTTAAGATCGGGTACTATAATATGATCCAAATATGCTGTTAAGTCATCATCACACATGGAGTTCTGGATACAGTTTTACTCAACTGGATATTGCATATAGACATATTATGAGTAGCAAAGAAGATCAACACCCCCACAGATTTTATTAAGACAATGGAGTAACCGTACCTCACCCATAGACCAATCAAATGCCAAAAGGTGTCTAGGCTGGCCATGTATTTGTATAGTACTTATTTCCCATTATAAATTTTTTTTTTTATTTTTTCTGAAAAAAACTCCCCAAGTTCAATTTACAATCTGCTTTTGAAAAGAAATAAAGATAATGATGCTGTTAAAGAATAAAAGGTACTTTTCCAATGTACCAAAAAAAAAAAGAAAAAGGAAAAGCATAAAAGGGAGTTTGAAAAGCAAATCTTTTTGACTTGTGAACAAAGCTAGGGTTTCCGTTCAGAACTTGATGTAGTAGTGATGTATGAACATACTACAGTTATGTTGTTTGTGGTTAGTCTCTATGTTAAATCTCATCATGGGGAGTGCATAAGATCAGAATTGCTCTTTGTTCCCATGAAAGAATATTACTTTCGGCTTATAGATGTCCATTTTCCAGAACTTTGTCCATTACATTGTCTAACCAATTTGGGTGTTTCAAAACAGCTGCAGTGATACCAGGGACAATTACTCAGGAAGCCAACTAATGCTTGTGTTCACGAAAATGCCACTGATATTGTGAGCAAAAAATTATTTTTAAATTTTAAAAGTAAGCCAAAAATCATGAAAATGTCAATCTTATTTCTTTATTTTTTAAGGTAAATAACATTCGTATTGATATCCCATGATTTTTTTTTCTAAAGCCACCCAGTGTGGGTGGAGGGTTTGATAGGACCCCTTCGTGTATATATAACTAAATGGAAAAAAGTACAAAGGAGAAGGATAACCAAACCTCCAAAAAACAAACAAGAAAAACATGAAAACAAAGTGGGGACTCCCCAGAGAATTAACTGAAAATAAAATAAAAACATCGACGTACGTAAGGAGTCTGTCGAGCATCCAAGGCAAGGATGCCAACAATCCCAAAAAAAAAGAGATGACGGATTAGAAAATCGCTAATTGGGCAGCTGAGAACAAGCCCAATTAGCCATGAAGTCGGTAGCCTGATTCGTCTCCCATAGGACGTGGCAAACGCGAGCCGAAAGAGAAGTACACAGAAGTCGAATGCGAGCAAGCAGGTAAACATAAACCCAACACCCAGAGAATAAACCCAAGAAACCACTATAGCTGAATCAGACTCCACTAATAACTCTGAGGTTCCTAAATCTGCGGCCAACTCCAATCCAGCACAAACAACCTGCATCTCCGCATACATAATAGGCTGATGCCCCAGAAACAAGCCAAAAGCCCTGAGAACCCGACCCTGGTGGTCCCGAAATAACACTTCCCCCCGGTCGCAAACAACCTCGGATTGCCTTTAGAACAATCGTCAACATTAATCTTCAGGCAACCTGGTAAAGGCTGAGTCCAAGCAACCAAGCGAAGAGGCCGAGGCCGAGGAACCAAGACTCTAAGAGAACCCACAAACTCAATTGACTCGGAGCAAACTCAAAACCAAGCCCTATCAACTGCATATCGGTCATAACCCTTTGAACCACAACGGGCACCTAATATCCCATGATTTACACCAAAAGAACTAGTTCCTACTTGTCTTTAGTTTGTACATATTTTCAAAATAAACCATCATGCTAATAAGGCAAATTGGCAAAACAAATCTGGGTGAGGTACGGCTTGAGAGACCAATACCCCCACAGATTTTCAGCTACACAATTTAATTTAGGCTAAAACCAGCTGAACAATCTACAAAAACAATAATTGGGAAGCAACCAAGAGGAAGCCAATTGTATGTTAGTTGCCATATTCTTGTACTTGAGGGCCATCAAACAACATCTTACTGATGTTTGTATTGAAACTTCAAACAATGTTCACTATGAGCATGTAATTTTTTGTAATTTATTGAATAAGGTTTATATTTTAAAAAAGCTTGAGATCTATGGTGGAGATGCATGTATCGAACATGTAAGTTTTGAGCTTATCATTTTTAGAGGGTTGAAATACATTTATTGAAGAATATTTGTTCTACTTCAATTTCATTCAATAATCTTATTATTTTGCTTTGGTTAGGAACATATGGGTGAATTAGTTGTGTGTATCTCTAGAATAAGCAACCTTCTTCCATCTTTTTTGAGAAATGATTCTAGGCCATTCTTGATCTATTTAAGTCTGAAGTCTGTTCTTTCAATTCATTGATTTTAGAAGCCGTGATTGAGTTTTAATGAATTTTCGTTTCTTTGCTACAAATAATAACCAAGGTAAGCAAAAAAAGATATTTATCTTTCCTTGGTTATCCTCGGATTTGTATCTACTTGATATATGTTGGGAATTGTGCTGGAATACTAAATCATGAATGAAAGAAAAAAGTAGAAGTATGATAAAAAGATGAAANCAATTAGCCATGAAGTCGGTAGCCTGATTCGTCTCCCATAGGACGTGGCAAACGCGAGCCGAAAGAGAAGTACACAGAAGTCGAATGCGAGCAAGCAGGTAAACATAAACCCAACACCCAGAGAATAAACCCAAGAAACCACTATAGCTGAATCAGACTCCACTAATAACTCTGAGGTTCCTAAATCTGCGGCCAACTCCAATCCAGCACAAACAACCTGCATCTCCGCATACATAATAGGCTGATGCCCCAGAAACAAGCCAAAAGCCCTGAGAACCCGACCCTGGTGGTCCCGAAATAACACTTCCCCCCGGTCGCAAACAACCTCGGATTGCCTTTAGAACAATCGTCAACATTAATCTTCAGGCAACCTGGTAAAGGCTGAGTCCAAGCAACCAAGCGAAGAGGCCGAGGCCGAGGAACCAAGACTCTAAGAGAACCCACAAACTCAATTGACTCGGAGCAAACTCAAAACCAAGCCCTATCAACTGCATATCGGTCATAACCCTTTGAACCACAACGGGCACCTAATATCCCATGATTTACACCAAAAGAACTAGTTCCTACTTGTCTTTAGTTTGTACATATTTTCAAAATAAACCATCATGCTAATAAGGCAAATTGGCAAAACAAATCTGGGTGAGGTACGGCTTGAGAGACCAATACCCCCACAGATTTTCAGCTACACAATTTAATTTAGGCTAAAACCAGCTGAACAATCTACAAAAACAATAATTGGGAAGCAACCAAGAGGAAGCCAATTGTATGTTAGTTGCCATATTCTTGTACTTGAGGGCCATCAAACAACATCTTACTGATGTTTGTATTGAAACTTCAAACAATGTTCACTATGAGCATGTAATTTTTTGTAATTTATTGAATAAGGTTTATATTTTAAAAAAGCTTGAGATCTATGGTGGAGATGCATGTATCGAACATGTAAGTTTTGAGCTTATCATTTTTAGAGGGTTGAAATACATTTATTGAAGAATATTTGTTCTACTTCAATTTCATTCAATAATCTTATTATTTTGCTTTGGTTAGGAACATATGGGTGAATTAGTTGTGTGTATCTCTAGAATAAGCAACCTTCTTCCATCTTTTTTGAGAAATGATTCTAGGCCATTCTTGATCTATTTAAGTCTGAAGTCTGTTCTTTCAATTCATTGATTTTAGAAGCCGTGATTGAGTTTTAATGAATTTTCGTTTCTTTGCTACAAATAATAACCAAGGTAAGCAAAAAAAGATATTTA